TGGGGCTGGGATGTGACTGCGGGAGGAGAGTCGCATCCTGCGTGTGGATGATGTGGGGCGTGTTCAGTATCCCCACTTCCCTTTGCCTGGATTTTCTGTGGCCACGCCGCATGGCATGCAGGATCTTTACTCCCCAACCTGCCATCCAACTCAGGCCCCCTGTGGTGGTCGCGCAGGGCCTTATGCTGGACCACCAGGCAAGGCCCGCCCAGATGGTCGGGAGTTGGCGGGAAACCGCTTTACACAGCATGCCTCTCTCTGCACTGTGAAGGCTGAGCAGATCCTGAGTAACCGGAGCTTGCAGTCTTTGGTCTTTTCTTCCTCAACCCTTCTATCCGACTCAGGCGGAACACGGAAGGCGGCACCATTTCCAATCACAAAGGTGATTCGTATGATTATGGCAGTATTTGGCAGTACTTTGATACACTGGAAAATAACAAGGAAATCAGATAAGTCTTGGAAACTAAACTTCAGGCTTACGTAGCAGAGCCTGGCATTAAATTTAAAGCAGAAGGACCCTCAGCAGTCCCCAGGACCGGGTGGTGCTTCCTGAGGGGGAGACGTAAGCTGGGGGGGTGTGCCAGCCTCGTGTGGACCTGGTTGGCGGGTCGCTGGGGCCCCTCAGCCAGGGTGTTTTCCCTGCAGACTCGGGACCACGCCGTGGAGGTGGGGGGTGTGGGCTCTGCTGTCTTCCGTGGTGGTGACAGCATGTTGGGAATATTTTACATGGTTCATTTCAGGAGGAATAATGACAATTTCGAAATTCTAGGACATGGTGTCTAGAAGAGGAAGATTCTGGAAAGCCTCTCAGACATGGGAGAGTGAAAGAAAGCAGGAATGCTTGGTCGGAGAGCAGCCTCAGAGGTATCCGAGAGCTGTCTTCACACATGGGAAAGGACTTTCGTCTTACACCCGTCACTCTTTATGTCGCTCAGGAGGGAACAATTAGGATCATGGGAAGGTGATTTGGCTTCCATCTGTATTCCTAGACGTGTGGTATACACCAGAGCAAGTGCAGGAGGTTTTTTATCTTCATTTTTAAAATTTCATTTCCAAGTAGTTTTAGACTTACAGAAAGGTTGGAAAAAACCAACTGTAATATAGAGAATTCACCTGAGCAACATACATGGTCATAGTACGATCAGCAGACTCCCAGGCTCACCTCATGCACGATCATCGCCCAAGCTCCAGCCTTACTCCAGCCTCACCAGTTTTCCCACTAGCACCCTTTTTCTGTCCTGGATCTCTTCCAGGACCCCACACTGCACTGAGTTCTGCTCACTCTAGTCACTGACTCATCCTTCCAGGACCCCACACTGCGCTGAGTCCTGCTCATTCCTCTAGTGACTGATGCATCCTTCCAGGACCCCACACTGCGCTGAGTCCTGCTCACTCCTCTAGTCACTGACGCATCCTTCCAGGACCCCACACTGCGCTGAGTCCTGCTCACCTCTCTAGTCACTGACACGTCCTTCCAGGACCCCACACTGCTCTGAGTCCTGCTCACTCCTCTAGTCACTGACGCGACCTTGGTTTCTTGACCCTGGAACTTCTACAGAGCAGCGGTCTGCTATCTGGCAGAAGACTGTCAGTCCATTTGGGTTGTCCAGCATCTTCTGTGATGAGGTTAAGACCACACCCTTTCTGGCACGAGTATCACGAGGTGATGTTATGCTTTCTTAGTGCATCTTATGGGGGCTGTGATGTCAAGACGTCTCATTACTGTGATGCTGACCTTGTCTCTAGATGAAGATGGTTTCATACTCTGTGAAGTTACTGGTCTTTTCTTTATAGTTAATAAATACCTTGGGGGAGATATGTTGAAACTGCACTTATATTTAATTTATAAATTAAATTATAACTATTATAATTATTTATTATAATTAATAAATACCTTGGGGGAGATATGTTGAAACATGAAAATATACATTGAAACTTTGTGTATAAAACTGAAACTTTATAAATTAATAAATACCTTGGGGGAGAAAGCCTATTTCTCCTTAAGCCTTTGCCTTCTGAGTTAGCATCTATTAGTAGATCTTGCCTAAAATATTTTTCACTTGTGTGTTTACCTCATGCTGATTTTGTCTTTCCCGCATTCATTTAACACTCACTAATCTTTTTCCTGGTGCCCTTTGATACACGACTGTCACTTGTACAGTATTGACCTGTACTAAAGAATTTTTCCACTTTCCCTCTCCCTTCGTCTCTCGTGTTTTAGTAGAATTATTTCCACCATGTCAGAGGATGTCATATTTGCACATTTGTCTGTCAGCCTAATTCCACCTTTATTTTAAATTTAGTCTGAGATGTACATCTTAATACCTTCAGATGCTTACGAAAAATCCTTATGCTGGAATTTTCCCGGTCATCACTGGTTAGTTAGATGAAGCTTACCCTCACATAGAATCCTCTGGAAGGGCTCATGGGTGTAGTTATCTCTAAGTTCATGTATGTTGAAATTCTATTTCTGTAATCTTGATATTTGAAGGACAGCCTGGTGGATTTTAAATTTTTGGTTCATGTTTTCTGTCACTGAGTTTTAAAAGCATGTTTCTCCATTGTCTCACTTATGTGTTGGCTTTGAAAAGCCTGATGCCTGTCCAGTTCCTTTTCACTCTCTCTCATTGATCTGCGCGCCCAGGGGCTTTGAGGATTTTGTCTTCATCTTTGAAGTCTCCTGGTTTTATTAGGATGTCTCAGTGTTGATCATTCTGGGTTAATTTTCCCAGGTACCCTGTGAGCCTTGTCAATTTAAGCTTCAGTCAGTTTTCCCTTTCCGTGAAGTTTTCTTGGGTTATGGTTTTGAGTCAGCTTTGCTGTGTTACTTTGTTTTACTCTTTCCAGAGCTCTGACTTAGTGAACATTTCTTCCTTCTTTGTCTTCCCTTCCTGCTGCTTCATTTTTTTAACCCCTGTTTTTTCTTTATGTCGTTTTCCTTCCCTTGGTTATGCTCCTGCCCTTCTTTGGTGTCCTCTATTAATTTTCACTTGAATTTATCCTCTTCAGTGCATTTTATAATTTATTCCTTATTTCCCTCATTACGTCCCTGAACTCGTTCAGGTCTCTTCTTGGTTTCTTCCCATTTTTGTCCTCTCTATTTTTACATTGCTAATTCAGGGTGGTTTTTCATGTCCTCAGATGTTTGAGTGTTTAATTATGTTTTTAAGAGTGTTAGACTTACAATCTCCTTTTGACTCTTGTCTTTTTCAGGAGGAGTTTTTATGTTTTGGGGTATTTTTTAAAGATTGCCATCAGGCACCTCTGCTGTTGGTGTGGCTGAGCGCAGGTGGAGGAGGTGTCTGTCTGGTGGTGGACGGGGTGGCTGTGAGCCACCTGGTATGATGGGCATCCTCCCTTGCTGGGCCCCAAGCTTGCCCTCTCTCTCCTTCTCGCCACCACCCGGCCCCGGGTCGCCCGCCCGCCCCGTTGCCCGTGTCCCTCCCAGGAGCTGGGTCCCGCCCATGTCCCTCCCAGGAACTGGGTTCGGAGGAACTTCTGTGAGGCTTTGTCCGCTCCGCCGTGCGGACTTGGAGCCCCTGCTGGCGTCTCGGCTCTGGGGCTCCGGCTCTTTCTCGCTGCAGGCCCGGGCGCGTTCCCCTCACTGGCGTCCCTGGCCTGTCCCGCTCACAGCGTCTCCTCCTGCCCTTCTCAGGGCAGGGCCATGTTGCAGGGTGTGGGCTGGCGCGGAGGGGACCCGCACCGGCGTTTGGTGGCTTTTCTCTCCCCCGGCCGCGCTCTCAGATGTCTGCGTCCTCCGATTCAGGTTGTGCCCGGGCTGTGGTTCTGCAGCGGTGACTGTGACCTTTCTGGACTTCCTGTGTTCAGGAAGGACTGTGGCGTTGGGGGCGGGGACGGCTACCTCTGCCCTTGTCTCAGCCTCCCGGAGTCTGCACTGTATTCACCCCAGGGCATTTTTCTCTGGTGTAGGGGCTCAGAGGTCAGAATTTGCCGTTTTCCTCCTCAGGTGTCTATTCTAAGACGTGTTAGTTAGGGAAGAGTAAAACTAGCACTTGCTACCGGGTTTCCCTATTAGATAAATCTGTAAAATAAAAAGTCCACTTAGAAAATAATGAATGAATAATGGAATGGATCGTGAACAGATTTGGCACAAATCATAACGATGGTTTGCCGGTGACCGCGGAGGGTGTGGGACCCCCCGTGAACCAGGGGTGTTTCCTGACTCTGGCGGGCACCGTCCAGCAGCGGGGACCCGGGACAGTGTGGACCTTCTGTCCCCTGCAGAGGCTGCCTGCCCATCAGCTCTGTGTCACTGAACACATCCTTACCCCGCGGAGCACAGACTTGGAACTTGGAGAGTCAGCCGTTTCCTTCAGCTTTGGAAGACTGCTTTTGTAATTCATCTTTAGTTCATGGGAATGCCAAAGCCAAATGCTGCCTTTCCGGAAGGTTATCCCTTATGGGCTGTGTGTGCAGTTTGTGAAATAAATAAAATCAGTCCACTCTTCAGTGTCAGGAAGACAAAGAATTACCCACGTGAAATTACTCATATCATATTAAGAAAGTACCTACTTGGCAAAAGTATCGAAGCACATAACTAGTTTCTTGAACAAAAATTTATAGGTTTTGTACATTCTCGATATTGATAAACCAGTCACAACAGTTTATTATAAGAATTTTGACCAAAATTGCTTGAAATGACTATTTTAAACTTGTAAAGCTAAGTAAATATTAGACTGTGCTGGAAGTAATGAGGTTAAGTATAACTGATGGTGGTTATTCCCGGAAGATAAAGTTGGAAGTTGCCTCTCCCAATGTCCTATAAACTTTCCGAGCTCCTCGGGGCTCTGTTTTTGCAGCGAGGTGCTCAGAGGCAGATTCAGTCAGAGCGCCGCGTGCTTTCTGAGGCTATCTAAAGTGAAACTGTCGTTGCAGAAGCGGGCATGCAGGAGGCTGGATGCCGCGGCGCCCGAGTGGGACTGCCCCCAGGTGAGGGTGTGCATCGCAGCGTCCTGGGGCAGCGAGGAGCCCGAGTCCCCGGATGCCCAGCGCAGAGGCCGCCTGCCCTCACCACGGCCCAACAGCGGCCAGGGCCAGCCAGGCACGGGGGTAGGTTCCTGTTCCCACCAGACCAGCCTTTACCTGTTCAGTGAAAGTGTGAATAACTGCTGCCCTGGCTCATCCGCGGCTGTGATTTGTTGGACAGGGTCCTCTGGATGGCGGAAGGAGCCGGGCCCAGCCTTGCCTGAGGTGCATCGCAGGAGAGTCTGTAAGTGCGTTCCCCTGCTTGCTGTGACGTGAAAGACCTGTCCTTAAATCCTGGATATGTAGAACAAGGGTCGTAGAAACGGCCGTTTCGTTCCTAAGGAACTAGGGATGTAAATTAAAAGGTGCAGGTTGATTTTCTTAGCATTCTACTCGGCTGCAAACTGATTTGCTTCCAGCTTGAGACTGAGACTACAAATTGAATATTTGAAATTCTTGAAATATTGAAATTCTTTCTAAAAACAGGCTTTAGAGAAGGGAACAGGTCCTGGAAATGGTTGAAATAGAGCTAATCTGAGGACATCTTAGACAAATAACCTTAACTCATTTAGTTAGCCAAATAGGAATTAGTGTTGCTTTTTCTTTTCCCTCCTTAAGCTTTTCTTTCCTATTTGCATACACTTCACATAAATCACAAGTTCCAGAAGGAGAAACACAGCATTCACACCATTAATTCCAAGGAATGGGACGTCTTAATGTTGCCAGAGTCAGAGTCTCAGTCCCCTGTGCTGGGCAGAAAATCATGAAGTGTCGTTGTTGTTCCTGTTCAGTCACTAAGTCGTGTCCGACTCTGCGACCCCGTGAATCCCAAGCACACGAGGCTTCCCTGTCCTTCACATTAGCATCATGATACCTTTGTTCCTAAATTTGGGCTTGTTCTGAAAATAAGTTAATAGCTTTGAAACCTCTATAATTTTTTTTTAAATTTCAAGCTTGCAGTCTTCATACTGCAATAAAATAGAATTGTGTATAATTTCCACATAGAGACCAGGAGCGTCTGTGTGTATGTGTGTGAGTATTTTCAGGATTTCCCTGTAAAGATCTTCAGAGGAAACATGGGGCTGCTTTTGATAAGCAAAAGTTTGAGTCAGTAAATTGCAGAATCTTCACTTGGTGCATTGTAGGTGACTGTTTCATAGGGGGAGGCAGTGATTTTGTTTTAAACAAAGGCCAGTCACCACGGGGCTCTCTGATTACCTGGCGTCCTTAGACAAGTACGAAGACCAAGGCCGGGTGGACCCGCCCGTGGAGACATGCCTTCCTACTCTGGCCCTCCGTCCTCAGGAAACTTTCCGCAGGTCATGTTGTATTCTGTGGTGTGGAGGTGGTGGTGGTTTAGTTGCTAAGTCATGTCTGACTCTTGAGACCCTGTGGACTGTAGCCCGCCAGGCTTCTTTGTCCAGGGGATTCTCCAGGCAAGAAGACTGGAGTGGGTTGCCATGCCCTCCTCCAGGGGAATCTTCCCCACCCAAGGATCGAACCCAGGTCTCTTGCATTGCAGGTGATTCTTCAACGACTGAGCTACCAGTAATCCTGAGTAATGTTGAAACCAAAGATCCAGCAACTTACTGTATTTCAGTTGATTCATGTAACTGCCAAACATGCCCTGGATTTTGATAATTAATATTATGACCCCACTATGGGTAAAGTGCATTATTGCTGGTGACTAACTCGAAACCTTCCTAGTTCTCATCCCATTTCCATGGAATGTGTCTTTCAAATCCCCCATCTGTTGGGCAAATAGTTGGAACGTAATACAGATTCTTAATGCTCCAAGAGGTTGTCTTCTGGCATGAACAGCTTAAAGGAAAAAAAAATTTGGCTCAAGCAGCTGATTGGATCATTTAAGCTAATGTTCTGTTTGAACAACAGCACCTATTTGATTAGGGTTTTCCTTCCCTTGTGGTTCCCCAAGCTTGCCTCTGTATGTTTCCTTGGAGATGAATCTGTGCGTGGAAAACCTATATTGATATGTAAATATATCATTTTTTTCACTAATGCTCAATATTCTTTTCATCTAAATTTTCAGAAAGTGACTTTAAAAAATCAGTTTCCCTTTATTTGTAGTTATTCTCAATAAAATTTCACCCAGGCTTGGGTGATTTAATATTTACACCCACTATTTCTAAAAGTCTTATGTAAATAAAGATTGAAATGTGAATTTGAAAAGTCACACCTCTTGATATTTGAACAGACTATAGCTGCATATATCTTCTTTTTCTAATAATATGGCTAGTTTCTCTCTTAAGCTTTTAAAATAATAAGGCACTATTTTTATATTCCAGAACATTAAGAGGCTCAGTGTTAAATAAAAAGCAAATAGTATTTTTAGAAATGCAAGATCCCAGGGAGAAGTGCTTAACAGTAAATCACCTATGGGCAGCAATTCCAAATTTCAGAAGACTTCATTCAGTGCGGGGCTCCACTCACGGATGCACCCCGTTCACACGGAGCGTGCCTGTCCAGGCCCACAGTTCCTGGGGCTGACCCCGGGTGGCGGGCTTGGCTCAGAGAGCAGCAGGGGTCACACTGGGGGCTGTGTGGAAGCCCTCTGTGTGTGTGCGTGCTCAGTCGTGTCCGACTCTGTGACCCCAGGGAGTGTAGCCCGCCAGGCTCCTCTGTCCATGGGATTCTCCAGGCAGAAATTCTGGATGGGTTGCCGTTTCCTTCCCCAGGGGATCTTCCTGACCCAGAGATTGCACCCATGTTTCCTGCATTGGCAGGCAGATTCTTCACCACGACACCCCTTGAGAAACCAACGGGGAGTCGCTGATGGGAAGCTTATACTGGTGTCCCGGCTAGCTGTACGCTTGTCCCTGAGAACCTCCTCAGTCCCCGTCCTCTGCTGTGTTTCTGATCTCAGCAGGTGTCATCTGACCCGGCTGGTTCTGCTCGGAATTCTCGCGTGGCTGTCTCAGCTCACCGCCTGGCCTGTTGTCTTTCTCCCACCGAGCTTTTCCTGATTGTTATCTGAGTCCTTGCTTGTGTGCAAGGGCTTGTTCCGTGGACCTTCTCAAACTCACTCCCCAGGCTGACACACGAGCCTCTTCTTTGGCCCGTTGCAGCTCACTGTTGTGTCTTAGGGTGATCAGTGTTCAGGTTCAGCTCCTCAGTTCAGTTCAGTTGTTCAGTCGTGTCCGACTCTTTGCAACCCCGTGGACTATAGGACTCCAGGCCTCCCTGTCCATCACCAGCTCCCACAGTTTACTCAAACTCATGTCCATTGTGTCGATGATGCCATCCAACCATCTCATCCTCTGTCGTCCCCTTTTCCTCCCACCTTCAATCTTTCCCAGCATTAGGGTCTTCTCAAATGAGTCAGTTCTTCACATCAAGTGGCCAAAGTATTGGAGTTTCAGCTTCAGCATCAGTCCTTCCAATGAATACCCAGGACTGATCCCCTTTAGGATGGACTTGTTGGATTTCCTTGCTGTCCAAGGGACTCTTAAGAGTCTTCTCCAACACCACAGTTCAAAAGCATCAATTCTTCGCCTCTCAGCTTTCTTTATGGTCCAACTCTCACATCCATACATGACCACTGGAAAAACCATAGACTTGACTAGACAGACCTTTGTTGGCAAAGTAATGTCTCTGCTTTTTAATAAGCTATCTAGGTTGGTCATAGCTTTTCTAGTACAAGTTATTACTAAGAAACAGCTCCTCATCACCCCACCTGTGGTACAGCCAGCTGGGGTGAAGCCATCCCTGATTCTTGGGACGTGGGGTTATGTCACTGAGGGTGTCTGCTGTGCCCCCCGGGTGGGCGGCCCTCTCTGCTGTGCACCGTCCATGCTGCAGGGCCAGGGCGATGGTCTCCGCCTGCAGGAGGCTCGTTTCCTACCTTGAGTGGTCCCAAGGCTGGGTCTGCCGTGCGGCTGGCTTCCTTCCTTACTTGGCTCAGCATTCTTGGCCCAGAGTCTCATGGGAGCCAGGTGTGCCATAAAATCATGCCCTTCTTAGAAATTTGTCCCATTAAATGAAATGAGTCCTAGTGAGGCTATGAGAGGTCTCCATGATAGCTGCATGAAGATGCATGAAGGGGGCATTATCAGGCCGGAAGCCACAGAAGAATGGAGTCAGGATGTTGGCTGAGGGGGCGGGCCGTGTTGTCAGCACCCCTTTTTCTGAGTGCGCCTGCCCCTGATGTGCTGCAGCTCATCAGGGAGGGGGCCACCCCCAGACTTCATGGATCAGCATGGCAGTCGCCCACGGCGCCTTTCCCTCCCCTCATCTCCCCCACCCCAGGCAGCCTCCCCGCCCCTCCTTCCAGGGTCCCAGCTCCTGCTGAGTGGCAGCCCTCGGGCTCTGCGGTCACCCCATCTCTTCCCTTCGTCCCCCAGCTGCCCCCCTCTCCAGAGGGGGGCCCCTCCTGGGGGAATACATGCCTCCCTTCCCCCTGTGGATCCTCTTCTCTTCCGTCATCTGTGATCTTGAAGCCCATATTCCTCTCATGAGATGCCTCACCTGAGTCTCTGTTCTGATCAGACCTCACCTGAGCTAACCGGCTAAGGGGTGGACAGATCCTCCTGAGAACAGAAAGCCTGCGGTCTTTAACTAGACCTGGGATCTTGGTCCCCCACAGGCTCAGCATTTGGGAGCCAGTCCCCTTTGCTAGTGTCTGTCTCAGGTGATTGAGTTTTTACCCAAGCTGGTAGTGAGTTAACTACATATGAGCCTACATGCAAAACAATGTTTTGGTTTTGGGGACCCCGCTGTTCCCAATCCCCAACAAATTGATTTGGCTAACAGCCTGTTCATTAGTGTTGAGAGCAAAAACTAAGGGAGCATCTTAACGAGCTGCTACGTTATTCCCTTTTTGACATTGAAACCCATTGCCTGACAGCAGCATCGGGGGCTGGGAGAAGAGAGGTGGGCGATGTGGGGACAGAAGAGGAGGGCGGGGGGTGGGAGGGGTGCTCCCCAGCCTACCGTCTGGGTTTGGTTTTCCCTGCAGGGCGGAGGGAGGCGCCCCAGGATGATCATTCTGATTCTAAATGGATGCATGTTTCCCGTGTGCTACTACTTATCTCCAAACAGGTGACCTTTCAAGTATTTGCTCTATTTTATTTACCTGTCTGTCTTAGCAACTGCTCCCTGCCCCCGCAGCATCTATAAATACTGCCATGACTCAGGGGTGGGGGAGAAGCCGGTGCAGACAGGACTCTGTGTCCCCCTCTCCATGGTGATGCGGGCGTGCTGCCTGGCCCGGGGGGTCAGGCCCGG